AATAAATATTACTCTATAGATATATATATACATATATTTATTAAAAATCCAATATAATTTTATTATTGTTTGGCAGCTATGCAGTATATATTTAAATAGAAGAAAAAACAACAACGTGGCATAGGAAAATATATATTTAATCATTGAGCCATGTTATGTGGTTGCATCTATTAATTCCTGATGGATAGATTCTGGAGCCACTAAACATGTTTGCAATTCATCGTAAGGATTTCAGGAATCCAGAAGCCTTGATGATATGGATATATATTTATCTTTTGACCTGATGCCAAGGTTGTAGTTAGGTCAGTGGGAGTATTACATCTAAAATTAGAGAGTATGAGGATATTAATATTAGAGAACTATCTTTATGCACAGAAGTTAGACGCAATCTAATTTTTGTTTCACTTGTGGTTTATAAAAACTGTGTTGTTATTTTGTAAAACTGGTTTTATAAAATTGAATAGATATGCGATTGCTTCTTGTACATTGAAAGATGGTTAATATACTATAATCACAAACTCTTAAGATTTGCAGGATATAGAAATTAATGTTGTATCTCTAGATTGAATGCTAAGAGAAAATTTGTTATTCCTGACTCATTGTATTTTTTGGTGTCTATTTTTGGGTTGTAATCAATTAAAATGAGATTCAAAGATTGGTCAAAGAAGGTTTATTACCTAGTGAGGCAGAGGAGCCTAAACCAAACTTGTGAACCCTGTTTTGAAGGATAGATAACTCTTAGGGCTTAATCAGCCAGATGAAATAGACATAAAGGACAATTGGAGTCGGTACACACTGACACGTGTGGTCTTATGAACATCCAAGCAAGATTACTCATGTTTTGGATAAGTTTATCTGATGCAACACAAGTCTTAAACTCTTGGTATATTCTGAGAAGGTTAAGACTGATGTGGAGCACATATTAGGTAAACTTATCAAGACACTTCGATCTGATCGAGGATATGAGTATTTCTTAGGATAGTGCAAAGACTATATGGTCAATGAGGGTATTGTGTACCAGTTTTCCGCAATTGACGCTAAATGCATTTAGGTGTCAAATAGGAATAACAGAATTCCACTTAACATGGTTAGATCTATGATCAGTTATGCCACATTATCTCTTTCATTTAAGAGTTTAGCGTTAATGACATCGATGCGCATTATGAACTGCATTCCATCTTAGTCTGTCTCAAGGGTACCGTTGAGCTGTGTTTTTGACTAAATCTTAGTTTGAATCACATGCACGTATGGGGTAGTCTTGCACATGTGCATTTGATATGGACAAGTAAGTTGGAAGCAAATCATAGGCATGCTAGATTTGATAGCTACTCTTAAGTCACTAGGATGGATTATTTTATGATCTCAAAGATAAAAGTTGATTATTTACACTCACTGTTTATCTATAGGAGAATCATATTATGAATCACATACCTAGTAGCATAGTGTTAGAGAATAAGGTAAGAGTACCAGATGTACCACATATGAACACACTTATTATAGAGATTGAGAATAATATATGAATTCCCTATTGATGCGTCAGCATCATCTATTACACAGATTCCTGCATCGGTACATTGAGGTAGTGGGAGGATTATCATCCAATCCGACAGAATCATGTTTTTAGGTGAGACCATTATGCACATCCCTGTTAAACATGAGTAGAACCCAGTAAGCTACACGGAAGCGTGAACCGATATGGATACAGATCGTTTTGGCGAGTTACTATGAAATCAGAGTTGGAATCTATGTATACTAATTAAATCTGGGATCTTGTAGAACTTTCTAGTAGGGTGATACCTATGGAAGGCAGGTTAATCTACAAAAAGATATCAGAAGATTTCTTAGTGAATAAATCATAAGTGTACAAGGGAATGCCATTATTTTTCTAATTATATATATATATTGTTGACATCCTACTCATTTAGAATGATGTGGAAGTTTTGTCATCAATAAAGAGGTAGTTGTTCAATTACTTTTAAATGAAGGATTTTCAAGATAGAAGTTATATTCCTAGGATCAAGCTTTTGCAAGATCAGGTTAAAAGGAAATTAGGCTTATCTTAATAATCCTACATTGATGAAGTTTTGACCAGGTTTGGTATGCATAACTCAAAGAATGAGTTCTTGCTTTATTGATATGAATGGCTCTCTCTAGTAAGTAGTTTTTCAAGACTATCAAAGGAGATTGAGCAAATGAGACTGGAACAATATGCTTCAGCATATGAGAGTCTCATATATGCCATGGTCTATACCAAACAGGACATTGCTACATAGTAGGGATAGTCAGTAGAGATCAGTCCAATACTGGACTTGATAACTGGTCTATTGTGAAAAATATCATTAAGTACCTAAGGAGGACCAAGGATATCATACTCATTTATGGATGTGATGATATGGCCCTAGTCAGGTATGTTAGTTCTGATTTTTAATCAGAAGTAGATACTATGAGGTTCATGACTTAGTGTATGTTCACTTAATGGAATGGAAATCAGTTGGTAGATTGTTAAGCATATTTCAACTGCTGACTCAAACTTGCAGGTGGAATATATTGCAGCCTTAAAGGCGGCAAAAGGAAGCCTATTGGTTTGATATCACTGATTTAGAGGTTGTGGAGTATACTAGCCTGCCTATTAAGCTATGTTGTGACAATAGTGCAGAAGTAGTCCAAAACAATGACCCAAGGTTCTATAGAGGAACAAGATACACTGAGAGGAAGTATCATGTTCTACATGATATTGTCCGGCAAGAAAATGTACTTGTAGCTAGAACATTGCATTGGAATACAACTTTGTTGATTCATTATCAAAGGTGTCATTGATCAATAATGTTGATCAACATCTGGATAATATTGGAGTTAGGTGCAATTTGAATTGGCTATGAGGGCAAGTGGGAGCTGTTAGGATTTATATGCCCTGGCATAGCAAATTCCTGTTTGGATTAAAGTGACATATGTTCCTGACGTTTCTGAAATATTTATGTTTTATACAATTGGTGAATTCAATGTATTATATTTCGATTCATTATAGAATTGATAGTGTCCACTTGATTACAAGAGATATTTATATATGTATGTGATGGCGATCAATACATGAATATAAATAGTAATCATAAATGGTTCATAGTCGGTAATTATGGATGGACTCATAATTAATTAAAACTTGAACTGGATCCGCGTTAGGTTGAGATATATTGCGAGAGCCGTCGTATGCAATTGCTCCCTATCACCGTCATGGCATTTGACTCTTAAGTATGAGAAAATTATAGACTCTTTTATTAATTAATAATTACTTTGATTTGTTCGGCGGATTCTTCGGGATCCTTAGACCGACACTTTGGGTAGTTCTGTAATTAATAGTTAGAAGGTTATATTTTCAATATTTGCATCATTGCTACTTGTATTTATTTTGTATTGATTATGGTTGATCACAAAGTAAATTCGAAGGCCTTCGTGTATTTTTAGACAAAATGATTTATTATATATTTATTTATTTAAATTATTATTTTTGTCAAACAAATGTTTTATTATGATCGAGCCAAAAATAATCAAAGGTACCAAAATAAATATATTAATTAAGTAGTCGGATTGATGGCTTTATTTATCCGATAACTAATTATGCATAGAGGGGTCAAAGTGCAATATTGACTTAGATGTTATTTATTATTTAATTGGAGTTCAATTAATTTCTTTTAGTGGAGTAGAAATTAATTTATGAATTAATTGAATTGGGTCCATGGACCGGGCCAATTATTAATTCATTGTAGCCAATAAAATAATAGGCCCAATGGATTCTCACTCATAACCCAACTTGATATTGGAATCATATTAGATTTGAGATATGTGAATTAGAGATTGAGAATGATTAGTTGTTTCCTTTTCTTTACCTTTATGTTGCCTATAAATATACATGGTCTATGTATATTTTAGGGGTGATTTTTAGTAGAAGGAAAAAGGAATATATTTTCTCTCTCTAGAAAATTAGGGTTTATGTTCTCATCTAATGGAGGCTCCCACAAGCCTAGTTTTCCAAGATCATTCATGGAGGCATATGAGTGATTCCTAAAGGCAAAACAATTACCAAGAAGATGGAGATCCAAGGAGAATGCATCTTACTAAGGGATTTACAATAAGTGAGAACATTCACTTTAGAGGAGAGATCTAAGGTTTACTCAAACTTTGATGTAAGTATTCAATCTTTTAATTAAATGATACATCATGTTTTATTTTTGCATAAAACTTATCTCTATGCAATGAATCAAGATTTATGAATTTAAATCCCTCGAAAAGTTTTTAAAACTAGCACGTTTCCCAACACGAAGATCAACATGAGCGATACATTAGCCCACCACAACCACTGTCCATAAAGGACGACATTAATGCGGGGGAGTACGGACTCAAAGGCTATCAGCGGTGGAATGGTGAATTACTTGTCCTGAGATGAAGATGTCGCTATTGATCAATTTAACTCACAACTCACATAGTTCGATTCATTAAAGCGAAAAATATTGTTTGTTTTTAAATTCAAAACACAGAAGTAATATATATCATTCTATTCCCTATGGTCATCATTTTCTTTTCTTTTAAAACTTTAACACATGTTAATATTTTATTGGACCACCTCATCACAAGGTTCCTTCTTATACGACTTAAAGCAAACATTGCTCTTAAAAAAAAAAAAAGTTGCTCTTATATAGCCCTTAAAATTTAGTCATTTTAAAATATTTTATAAGGACCATAAATTTGTACTTTTAATAAATAATTCCAATGGAATTCAAAATTCTATTAACAACATTTTAAAAAATTACCATCAAGTCCTACTTTTCTCGGCAAAAGATAATTAAGACCTAAAAATATACTTTAAGACTAATAAGATTCCATTTAAATTCTAAATTATTGAATCTTCCGTTTACACCCATGCTATATTAAATATAAAATTAGACACAAACTTTCATATACAACGGTCATTTGTTCAGAATTGTTATGCTGGGCTGGGCTTTGCCTTGTTGACTGACAATTACTTTTGTTTGGTCTCTTTGTTTCGGCCTTGTCCTCCTGCTTTTTTTATTAGCTTGGGCCTAAAAACGATACGGGGTAAAAATGTAATTTACTAAGGAAATCAATGCTGAGAACGCGTTTCGTTGTTCTACAACTAAATCGATGAAGGTAAAAAAAAAATGGGAAACAGCCGAGAACCCCTGAGAAACCTTCTTCGCAGTCCGAAAATTTGTCGAATCTTCCGCAGCAGATCTCTTCCAAAACCATGGTAATCTCATCTTTCTGTCTCGACCTTACTTTGATTAGCTTCTCAGAGATCGTTGATGATTCGTTTCCTTTTAAAATTAAATTTTGATCGTTTCAATCATAAATTTCAACTATCAATTAGATTATCCTCACTTTAGAATTTGATTGAATTTCACCTAATTTTGTTAAGAAAACTGCATCAGATCTGGACCTCAGTTTTATATATATATGTATGTATGTGTTTTTCACCTGTTTACATTTTCTCTCTCCGGCTTGAAATTTTGAGATGTGGTAAAATCTTCTTGTATATATGCTGAATTGATGTAGACTTTTAGAAACCCTGCACCTTAGTGCCTTTGAAATGTATCTTTGTTTGGTAGCATGGAATTTGAAGTTAAATTGGATTAAAATTTGAATTAGTTTTTCTCCAATTGCAATTCCAAGGTATCAATTCCATGCTTCCGAATTCAATGTGAAAAGTGTCAACCTAATGAGTATGATAAATGAGAAAGTTTGTATTTTTGTGGCGAAATAGGATGTCTACAGAACAACTCTAAAACATGATATAGATATATGTTCTAACCTCAACTCATATTCTCTCCTTAGAAACAAACCTTAGCTGCACCAAAATCAAACACACTCCATCAACATTGTCTCGTTTGCTCCCTCCCACTCTTTTTCTCTAATCTTATTCCTAATATGAACTTAGTCACTCTCCAACTCTCATACAGCGTCAATGACAGTATTGTGAGTGCCTTCGGATGGTACGAAACTGTGGATGAGAGCTCAAACTTTACTAGGGACATGCTGTAACTTGTACGTGAAATTTTTGCATGAGAAATTGATCTGGATTGGGCTGCATTTTTTAAATTTATGGGTTGCTTACATGTATGTGATATTAGAAGTTAAATTTAGATTGTAAGAAGAGAATGCTATGTTGTATGTGATATTTTTAATGGAAAGTATTATTATATGATTAGTGGTGGTATCAGACCCCTACTATCTAAAAAAAAAAAAAGTATTATTATATGATTAAATTGTTAAAAAGGGTCTACAGTAGCAAAAGACATCTTCAATGGATTATTACTTAATCATCGATATTTCATAGGGTGTGGCTTCCACTTGTTCCTCACCGGGGTTGAAATTGAGAGGCTGGAATGATCCCAAATCTTGATATCGACCGCACAAGCCCATATGGACCATCAATAACCAAACCAAAGTAATGAGCTCTCCACCTTTATTCAGTTGATGGGCATGAGTATATTCACCGCAGCGACTTGCAGCATAACACAGTAATTCTACCCAAACACTGCTTATTGTTTCCCATTTATCTTTCTCGCCCAACTTTTTCAGCACTTTGGCCAACCGGCAGGCATCAAACAGCACGGATTTCACGTAAATATATTCCTCGAAATTAAATTTGGTATCAATAGACAGGATAGTGTTGCAGGCTCTTATCTGTTCGTCCTCTTCTGATTTCTGTCTGCAGAAAAAATTATTAACAGCAAAGATACTCGGACGTTCCTGTTGCACTTGTGATTTCCTTCTTTGAAAGATATGCTTGGTCTCCGAACATGTATGCATGAATCTTATATACCCATCACCTGCCACTGCAGCCATCATTTGTTGCTCTATAACTAGAAGATATAACATGTAATCTGACAGGAGCTTCGAAAAATTACGATACTTGCCAATGTCGTCGTCGTCAATGTCGTCGTCGTCCCCTGTACCAGCAGCAGCATTGCTTTTACTGTCACTGTAGCAGAGTTCAGTTGCAATGTGCCACAATAGAAGGCTTCTATCATATTCGACTTCTTCAACAGAAGGAAGTAGATTGTGGTGACCTCTCTCACGAAGAACCCCTTCCCCTCTGCCTGAATAGATCTCCTTGGCACTTGCTACATTTCTCCATGTACTAGCTTTAGTTCGCAGCTCCTTGAAGATGAAGTCTCTTAACTCTCTCGTGAATGATACCCTTTTCACGTACTTGAGCCTATCGAAAACGTTGGTAAGATGGAAATTATCAATAAGTGTTTGCATCCATGTTGAAGGTTTATGTATGCAATTATTTATCAAGTTGAATTGCGAGACAGACTCGGACCACCCACGGTGCAAGAATTGCCCAATAAGCCGCATCAGCATACAGCAAGGACGAGGAGGCTTTGCTGCATCGGCAATCCTCCTCCTCCTCTTGACAGCTAATAAGAAGTTGAGCATTTTTTTAACCCAATTTTCAACCCAAGTTCTATTGGACCGTATGCTCATGAGGGTAATAATGGTGGAATTAGAGAAAAACAGCATGACGATAGCAATTATATCGAGGACAATGGCACCAAGAAGCAAGACATAGGTAATCCCAACATCAAACCCATCGAATCCCTGCTTCTCCTCCGAAAGGAAGAGTGCAAGGGCTACCACAACCGAACTGAAGCAAACAGACCTGCAAATGTAGCCTAATTTACAATGCACAACACTCATCTTGGTGTAGAGAATTTCATACATGAGATTCAGTTCAAGCTCTATAATTCCAAAAGCATCTCCTGCCAAAATTGTACTGAAAAAGTATTCGCCATCATCCAGCTCGAAGGTTACAATGGAATTAACAATCAACTCCTTCAAACTACCAAAAAAGAAATTAGCAAACTGCATCACCAGTAACTCCGTCAAAACACGTGCATCTTCAGCGCCTTCTTGATTTTTCCAGACCACAGGAGCCATGCCAGTATGGGACTCTTTTACGACCCAGTGGTAGACAGGAGGAACACGTCGCATGGACTCCCGTAAATTACCAAAGCTTGCAAGATACAGAGAACGTGTCCGCTCAGAGTATTTGATAATTCCTGCCACAAACACGAGCATTGTTGGGATCCATATCTTGTTACCGGGTAATGTCTGAAAGAAGACATAAAGAGCAGCTAAACACTGGACTGCGAGTGCAAGCAAGTGCCTGAGCCATAGCTCATTGTCCTCGAGAGCAAAAGCAGTTATGGTATCAGGGCCACCAAGGTGTACCAGAAAAAAGGTAGCCCAAAATGCCTCAAGGTCTCCATTGCTGACTGCACCAGAAGTGGTGGTGTTATTACCGTTGGAGATGAGCCCAACAGCAACGTTAGCAGCCCAGTCTGCAAGCAAGTATGCCGACCAGAGGGATATGATTATCCAATTGCTTGACATTCGCTTTCTCAAGGGGCCAAAAAGAGTTAAGAAGGTTTGCAGTGAAAGGCTTAAGATAATGAAGGATCGGAGATCCCATTTATCCCAAAGCTTCTTCCAAGGGAGTTCCATGGTTGTTCTTGAGATGATACAGATGATTAGAAGCACAATTTAATGAATTTGCAGATAGCCTTCAAAGAGGATACAACCACTGTCAGTGTTGATATGGGAGAGTATATACGCCAAATGCATTTTACATAAAAAGTCAATCATTCAACGTTGGCTAATTAACAGTAAGATGGACATTGCGGGTGTTCATCTGTGAATCAGACCGATCTGTGCTGTTCAGATTGATTTTTTAGTCCGTAGATTGCCATGTCTCTATCTTGGCTGAACTCGGTGGAGTTGTTGCACTAATGTACTACAGTACTTGTTTGTGTGTGAAATGTGATGAATTGGGTGTTTGCAGAAATAAAACATTTTTCAATGAGAGATTAGGAACAGAAGTTGAAGCTGTTGATGTAGGAGCACCACTTACAGGAAGTGAATATTCACAGCAGACTAATGTACAAAAGTCTAGAAGCAGAAGCTGTTGATACTTTAACCATATGTAATACCCAAAATCAAACATTTCTTTGATTCAGTCAGTCTCACCCAAGTGAGCGTCTAATAAAAATTTAGAAACATTGGTTTGATTCAGTCAGTCACCAAGGTTATGATTTAATAAGGTTCTTTATTTTAGTCTCAATCTCAGGTTTGGATCGGTTTGGGAGTATTTTAGAACTAAATCAGCCCTAATGGTTCCAAAAAAAAAAAAAAAAAATTAAACTGGACCATGAGAACCGATAGAATCGAATCAAAACTAGTTTGGTTTGATTCCACGGTTCTAGATGAAACAATGAAATTGCACTAATCATTCAATGGTTTTTAACAGGGACGGAAAAAAAGCTTTATATATATATTTTTTGGGTAAGTTTTTAAAATATAGCTCCCAATAAATGTAAGCAAGCATAAAGTAAGAGAGAGAGCTTATAAGATAAGAAGCTAACTATGTCCAAGTCCTGTTTATATTTCAAGTTATGCCCTTAAAATGAGAAGCCCAAAAGGCTTTATATTTCATTGCGGAATGCCACTAATATCAGTTCTCGTTGACATTAACAGTTACTGTACAGAAACAAACATATGAAAGAACAAGATGAAGGTTTCAGGCACAGTACAATGAAAAAAAAATTCCAACGGGTAAGAAATCTAATTTTTATGTGTTCCGATATATCTTGCTAGCAATCAAATTGATCAAAAAAGAAACCAATTACAGAAAGAATAAAATAAAATAGTAATAATATCATATAATTAAAGCCATGAACATATGCATAGTGGTAAACACTATATTAAAGCCTTCTTATATATATATATATACGTGAATAGAATAAAGTTGAGATAATTAGACCACCTCATCCAAATGTTTTTGTTCTTTGTTTAGTTTATATTGGCTACCCTGTCTTGGTTCTTGGTTCCTGCCACCTGGTGGGTGAGTGGGAGGAAGAGATGTGAAAGGCTGGTGGCGTTGGGTGGTGGAGAGGTGGAGAGCAATGGTGGTTGAATTGGGGTCACAGGGATTTTGAAATGGGAGGCACCATTGTTCAAATAAGTGGAGAGATTGAGACGTATTAACCCATTAAAAACAGGTTTAAATCACCGAATAAAATTTTATCTTCCTCAAGAATGACCCAACCATTGTCCTCCACGGACAAAATTTCATTTTTGCTCTCTCCCACCCATGCTTCTCCTCCATCTTTTTGCTGTCAAATTTTTATTATTTGTTTCATGCACCAAATACTCATTCACAATTAATATTGTCAAAATTAATTAACTAAACAATCGCCCAACTCACACACACATCAAGAAGCGTAACAAAACAATAACTAAACCAGAGGAGAACACACGAACTGTTCGACTAAAGTACAGAAAAATGTAGACTTACTATGGGCAAATCCAGAGGGGAATGGCGAGTGTCTTCTCTTATCATTAATTTATTAAGTCCATGAAGGAAAATTCATGGCAGGTTAGAGACAAAGGTAGGGTTTGATGAACTGTAGCTTTTGAATCTGACAGTGGTGTGTTTAATGGGTTTTTATAGATCACTCTCAAAAAGCTTAGAGTAAACATTACTTGTTCTTGGGATTGCTTATGGATCACTCTCAAAAGCTCAGAGCAAAGAGTATTTGTTATTGGGATTGCTTGATATGCTGGTTTTGGTATTTGAGTGGGGAAACTCAGAACTTTAGGCCTGGTTGGCAACAGAAAACTTTTAGTGTTTCTGTTTTAATCTGAAAGAGAAACTATACTTTTGTTTAGTGTATTCAATAATGATTGGAAGAACCAACGAGCTAGTGGTCTAGTGGTATCAGCCTCTTATTTCTCAAAGGGAGTTCAGGGGTTCAAGTCTTAGATAAGATAAAGTGTGTGTGAGTACCAACTAGGAAAAAAAAAATGATTGGAAGCATGTTATTTGTTGCAAAATTTTTTGAAGCAAAAAAAAAATGAAAACATTTATGTCAAAAATGTTTGCAAGTTTAGAAAAATAAAAACACAAATTTAGTGTTTCTAGTTTTGTTTCTTTTTTGGAAACACACACAGTACTGTTCAAATCATAACGAATGTTACCAAACATGTTTCCGTATGTTGCTTCGCTATAAAAAAGCATGAATTAAAAGCGATTGCCAAACAAAGCCTAGTAAACATGGGATTTTATAGACCACTCTTTGTTCTTGGGATTGCTTGATAAGCTGGTTTTGTTACTTTAGTGGGGAGACTCAGAACTTTACTAAACGTGGGAATCAAGCAAAGCTAATATTCCATGAGGAATCAAGCAAGCTTAATATTGGTAAGAATAATTCTATGCAAGAAAACATCAGCTCTAGTGATTTGATCTTCGATACTCCCCAAGATGCCCTATTGAGAATTTTCAAACCCACTAACTCTCCTTCACAAAACCTTTCACAAGTGGCTTCACAGCCCACTCTCTTCCAAAGTGAAAATCCCTTCACTTTACAACCAAGGGTCACACCAACCCTTTCTCTTAAATATGTCCATTTAAATTTACTTGTCAGCAACTTGAATTCATTATTAAATTTACTGCCAATATAAAATTGTGTTTATAAATTCAATAATTTCATTAAAAAGCTACAAAAATCTAAATTTACGGGATTTTGGAATCAAAACATATGCATCAATATATTTTGGAGGATTTGTGCAGGGACAAACTCTAGATTGTTCTCGGTCTTCACCACCAACTCTCTACAGTCATCAATTACTTGAAATGTTAGAAAAGGCGTAAGTTAACGAGCAGCAAGATCACACTTCAACAAGCGAGAACCTTACCACAAGGTCCTCACATCAATATACAAATGTAAAATTATATAATGTCACATAATAATTATAAAATCATACCTAATGACCCTATGCAATCTTAAACCTCTTTCAACTTCATGTCTCGTCATTAAATTACAAGTTAATCATCACGTTTAACAAAAAACTTTGAGTCTTAACCATTGTTTAAGATATTTCTCTTAATTTGTTATGCAAGAGAAGCCATGCAAACTCAAGTACGGAAAACATGCATCCAACTTCATAGGTAAGGTACATATTCAACCAACCAAGAGGAGAACGGATCTAATAATCTTAAGGAACATATCCAACCTTCAAGAGTTTAACAGATGTAATTATTTATTAATTATTATTACTGGTTCTTTTTCCCCTCCTTTATTCTTATCATAGTCTTAATCATGGATTCCATTACCAATTTAGATTGTTAAAGAAGGTATATTTAGAAAGAAAGGCAAGTGTTATTATATCTGATCACCTATTAGGATGTGCAACGGCCTTCCAGGCTGCAGCGATGGTCCTCTAGTTTTGTTGTCCCGAAGCTTACAAGAGAGAAGACGATTACTGAATAGTACTGATTCAGCTACGGCCATGGTGAGATATGTTCTTGGGTAGTGGTGTTCACTTGTTCCTCTAATTGTTCCTCTCTGGGGTTGAAAGTGAGAGGCTCTGAGGATACCGGTTCTTGAAATTCACCACACAAGCCAAGATGCAACAATAATAACCAAACCAAAGTAACGAGCTCTCCACCTTTATTCAGTTGTTGGGCATGAGAATATGCTCCGCAACGACTTGCAGCATAAAACAGTAATTCTACCTAAACTCTGCTTATTGTTTCCCATTTATCTTCCTTGGTCAACTTTCGCAGCTCTTTCGCCAATTCGCGTGCATCAAACAAGAGAGATTTCCTGATGCTTTACTGATGCAGACTATGCTGGATGTAAGATAGATAGACGTTCTACATCTGACTTCTGTACTTTCTATGGTAATCATCTCATATCATGGAAGAGTAAGAAGCAAGCCGTTGTCTCCAGATCCTCTGCTGAAGCTGAATACCGAGCTATGACTCAAGGTACTTGTAATGTTTGTAATTTGTTTATATATATATATATATGTAAAGTTAAGTTAATAAAAAAAAGGGGCAAATTTCTCAAAACCCCCAAAACTATTAAAAAGTGATCATAAAACCCCACCCAGTTTTTAAAACCCCCAACAATATAGAAACGTTATCATATTACCCCAACTTTGACAATTGGCTCTGTTAACCCAGCGCGTGGCTAACAAATGCTTTGACAAATTGACTTTTGTGACGAAAATACCCTTGCTGTCACATGTGCCAAAGAAGTAATGTGTAATTAAATGTGATATACCAAAAATACCCCCAAGCGTGTAATGGTAAAAACCCATAAAAGTAAATCACGTTTTACTCATCTTCCCTTCCTCCTCCATGCGCGTTGCAGGAAGCCCTAAAAGTTGCCCGAGCCGTTGTGTTTCCTCCATTATAGGAACCAGTGGAAGTGATCTTGAAGCGTGAAGGTTAATTGTTACTTTAATTTAAGGTAATTTCGTACCCTAATTTAATCTAATAAGTAGCCCTACTCAAGGACTCACACAATACTAATTTATTTGAGGATTTCTGAAAATGTAATTGCTTTGAGGTTTAAAATCACACATTAGCTGTTGTTTAAACCCATTTTCTAAATTTTGTTTTCAAACTCATACATACAATACAATCCCTACCTTAGTGTCCAACTATAACCACCGTCGAAATTAGATGTTGTTTTCAGTTGATTTTTAGTGTTTTTATTAAAATTAGATGTTGATTTGAGTTGATTTTTGATTTGTAGATTCGAATCCCAGAATGTCTTCTTCAAGCACACAGTATGGGAGTATTTGAGGTATATTAATGTTCAATGTGATTGTGGCAAAACAGTTCTAATTTTGGTAACAGGGTCTGATGAGTATGACAATTTAGGAAAGCTATACTACAGATGTCTAAAACGAAGATGTGGATTTTGGGAATGGTGTGAACCAATTTCGACAAGAACTTCATGTGACGTTTCTGATTTTCGTCGTTTTTTTTTTTTTGTTTTTTTTGAAAAAAATTGTCGCCGCAAGGGCATTTTCGTCTTATCACGTTTTGCGCACGGGATTGTGGTTGGGTCCAATTGCATATTGTACATTTTTATTTATGTGGATCAAGTGGTATTTATATGTGGTGCATTAATGTGTATGAAGTGTAAAATGGAGACATAAAGAAAAAAAGATAATAAAAGAAAATTTTGTGGGCCCACCACTAATCCCACATGTGGCTAGAGACCATTTTTTTTTTTAGTCTCTCATTTCTCTCCTCCCGTCCATTTCTCTCTCTTTCTCATTTCCTCTTCATTTTCTTTTCTTTTGGCTTCAAATTTTGATCTTTGATTTCTCACTCCACACTTAGTGATTTTGAGTGCCGTTTGAGGCGAAACGAAGAGCACGGCGAGCTCTACGCATTGATATTAACAATTTCATCTTTGAGCCTCCCCTTAGCATTCGAAAATTTGAACCCATTTTAAGGGTTTTGCTCTTAATCAAGGTAGGGGCTCTTAATCCACAATTTTCTTGCTCCTATGTCAATTACATCTTCTAAATTGTTGCAAGACATGCTTATTTGCGTTAGTTGTAGTTTAAAGGTAGTTAGAACATGTGTATGTGGGTATGTGAGAGCTTGTAATTAATGTTTTATGTGAAAAATTTGCCTATGTGATGATTTATATAGGTTCGCTATGCTAGATGTATTGTTGTATAAGAGCATGTTGAAATTTCTTGAGAAATTCTTGTGAAATTATGCCTTGCTTACTTGAATTGAGTTGGTTGTGTAATGATGAGTATATTGGTATGACATAAATGCATCTATGCATTTACATTAGGCAAGAAATGGGAAGAATTGATTTTGAAATGAAAAAGGGGAGTTTTGGGAAAGTATATTGATGAAAGTGTTTTGATAAAACTCGGTCATTGCGGAGTCACCAACGGGCCGATAGGTTAATGTAACCTAGAGGGAATTAGGGAGATTGCCCTAGCATGGTTGAGCTATCTGGGCCCCATAATGACGCTGCAGAGTCACCAAAGGTCAGGGACAGTAGCCAATCCTTCTCTCGGCGCTGCGGAGTCACCAAAGGGGGTTACATTAACAATTTGGAAAGTGATGGATGAACGGTTTTGAAAATGGGGAGTGACATTGACATGCATTACATTCCATTGCATTATATTGTTAATGTTGAGCTCGGATATGATGTTGTATTTTCCCGACTTTGTATGACCCCGATTCCTATCGCTCTATTCTTTGCTTGGATTCACGGGGACACAAGAGACGTGTCTTAAGTGTCACCTACTGAGCATATTGCTCACCCCATTATATTCTACATTTTTCAGGTCATGGAAAAGAAATAGCCGACGGTAATCCAACTTAGCCTTAGCTTGGAGTAGAGAAATGCCATTTTTCATATCTTTTGTAAATGAACCTAATTTTGTAAAATATTAACTCAAGGTGTATTATTTTGTAATGTGTGATGTATTGAGGTTCATTGTGTATATGGTTATTTGAGAGAATGTAATTAAGTTTTACTCACTCAAAATCAGTTTGCATATTTTAAGTAACGTGTGGTAAATTACGTTAACAACGTGGTTGTTATTATTGCAATTTAGTGTTGAAATGTATTTAAAATTACATGTAAGTGTAGTGGCGTACCAATGTTGGTGTATTTGGGTTATCACTGGACAGTGGGAAAAGAAGTGAGAGTTTCCGGAATCGGTCAACATGTGGCTTCCCATACGTCGACCAGTATCTTCACAGTGTGAGTCATTGTGGCTCACATTGCAAACCAGTCGACGTATGGCTTCCCATACGTCGACCGGTATCATGTCCCAAACCAGTTGACGTAGGG